GTTAGCATTTTGTATGCTGGTATCAGTGACTTTAGACTCTTGTTCAACTGAGATACTGGCAGTACCAGGCTGTTACAGAGATTGAAATGATAAATCTTAAAAATTATTGCTTCAGTTGATTTTTTTTTTTTTTGGTATTTTATTTGTTTTTGGGTTTTTACAGTTTTTACAAGTACGCAAGATATATCACAAATTTCTACATGCATAAATTTACATTACACTACTCTATTACACAAAGAAAATACCACTACACTGGAGTACGAGAATAAAAAAAAATAAAAAAAAATAAAAAAAAGAGGCATCGCGTATTGATATAAATAATAAATTAGTTCAGCTATTGTTCTATCAGTTGAAGGAGGGGTTTCCATTTGTTGTAATGGATCTCAAGTTTATTATTCTTTCTGGCTATAAAACGTTCTATTTGAAACGTACTCTTAATTCTTTCGAAAAAGGATTTAAAGGATAGTTGGTTCAGTTGATGACATAAGCAAAACCCTTTGTCACCAAACTGTAATGAAATAAACCCCATGAAGAGAATGGGGTAGACTAGCATTTTAAAATACCAGAGTTTTAACCCTTGAACTCCCAGAAGTGACCAAGATAGAATTTCTCCTTACAATATCAAAACTGTAATATCAGGCAGACATTGAGATGAGAATAAAGACAATATATATTTGGGGATTGTTAGTTGATCTAATATCAAATTCTCCAAGCTCATATCATAAGAATTGTATGGAGGACAGTAAGGAGAATTACCAATGAGATCTTCGTAGTGAAAGGGTTAATATAAACCCTAGTTTCTGAGGGAAACCATCTGGGTGTGGCTTAAACTTTCTGTGACCCTTTACTGATAACAGCACACAACCTTAAGCTACCACAATTTTTACCATAATGACTTGTATGATCTTTATGCTTTAACTCTCAAGATCCATAGAGTAATTCTCCACACTGAATGCTATACATTTTCTCTTAAACAAGACTGGAGAATTTGGGTTTCATCAAGATAACATCCTCCAGCTAGTTCATAAGCCTGTATTTTCACATACCTCTTTAAAATATAACATACTATACATACTGTTCATTACTGGCATTTTTTCTCTTCTTTAATTCTAACAATCCTTAACGAAAACATAATGTAGATGATTTATCTGTTTATCTCATTTTATTGTATCTTTTTATTATTGATTGCTTGAGATTTCCTTTTTTTCGCAACAAAGATTGGCACTTGGCGGCAAAAATTGAAAAAAGGCTTTCAGTAGCACTTACAAGCTTATCGAAAAGATGAAGTAGAAAGGCTGCTCATGCATGTTACACACAAAACTTAAGATTAAATTTAAACACTTAATGATGCAGCTTAGAGGAAAAAATGTTTACGTGCTTATTCACATGTGGCGAAACCCTCTGGCAACTGACTCAATTTTCTAATTTCGTTACTTTCGTCCGAGGAGGAGACAGCCATCGAGCGAGTGATGTTCCACTGTAGATATATTTACTTACGGCTCTAAATACGAGAGGCTTATACTTAAAATTCCCTAAATATTTTTCATCTAATCTTGGAAGCTGAAAATTGTCAAAACTAGAGAGCAATACGTTTGCAATCAAATCTATAGATGCTTGGTTACTTAACAGAGAAAGAAAAATCAAGTCACTTGCCTTGGTAATTTCTGCAGTGTCGTTCTCAGGGTCTGTTCTACAGTCTTCATCGGCAGTTTGTAAGGAGTTATTTTGGGGATTACTTGCCATTGTACGTCAAAATCTTTTTGCAGACTGCCTTAAGTATCTACCATGGAGAGAGTGTCTCAAATAATCGAACGACTGCGAGAGACGCAGCCAAACACTTCCATTGAAGACATGGTCTGCAAAATTCCGCATTGAGAAACGAAATTGTCTATTTAGTACGTCATGTTCGACTACATGTAATGTGTACTAATACCTGGGGGAAAAAAAAGCAAAACCTGCAGAATATTCAATTGACGTGAAGGCCGGCTGAGTGAAGGGAGGAAGGAGGAGTGAAAAGAGAGACATCGCTCCAAAAAGACAGAAAAAAAGAAAAGAGAAGAATTTCCTCCAACAGCGTGTCTTTTAACCTTTCACTCTCAAGATATGCAATAAATAAGAATTTTCGATACAATTTACCACTTATGTACAAAAAACTCGCTTAAAAACACTACTTACTTTGATTTTTGGACAGAAAAATGGATTTAAATTACTTGAAACATTATTCTTTGTATTACTTGCGTGGTACCAATTTCAGTGACCCTCAGTACAGCTGGTCGAGAACGATAAAAACAGGCCGGAGGGACCTGGTAAAGGATGACCGCGACCGCTAATGGAGCTGAAAATTACAGTGATTATGGGTAAACAAATTCGGGACTTTAACAACTGACCGCCTGATACTGGACTGTGGATAGAAATGTTAAGGTTGATTTAAACCTAAGGGGAGAATGTCCCCGTAGAAAACGTGGTTAAGTAACGAGTACCTCTCCCTCTCCCTCTCCCACCACTGGGCCTTAAGTCAACAATCACAGTACTTTTTTTGTCCCTGCTGCAATATCGGTCAGCGGTCTGCTAGTCTCCAACCTCTTCGCGGTATGGGTATAATCAAATACTTTTCGCGTCAATTATGATCAGTCAGAATTTTCCCTCGAGTGTCGTTTCGTACTAGTATCCTAACCGTCAGGCATGTTCTTGCTGCCTTTTCTTCGTTTGATTTTCATTGACCTTGTATGTCATTACTGTAAATTAATTCTTATGTATTTAGGACACCGCTGGTTATTTCATTCAATTTTGAGAATTTATCGGTGTGTTTGCTGCAGTCCCTAATTGCAACGTATCAATAGCGCCACTGAATACTTGACGACAAACACATTTTCAATCTTCAATTCTTAAAATAATGGCAGATAAAAGGAGCCCATTAGATGATAATTTTTCCATGCTACTTTATTTAATTCTAATTATGTTGATTTATCGGATTATTAATGGTATGCAATGATTAATAGCTTTATTTCTCAATCCATCAAAGCTCCCACACGTCACGCAACTTAATTGGTGGTGCGCGCGCTGCGTGACCTAAAGAAAGTGCTGCTGTTCAGGAGACTAGGCCCAAACATTCATACACGATATAGCCCAAAAAGAATTCTGATTGGTCCATCTAACGATACTTAATTTACGATAAACGATATTCAACTGTAATAACTCGCCAAATGAAAGGTTTGGAGACTGGCACGAGTTTCTTGACCAATGAAAACCTATGTAAACTGCACAAGTTTACAATTATTAACAAAATTATTCAATTCGCTGGATATATTAACACCCCCTTGAAAACTCGTTGCCCTTGCTGTCATAGAGATTAGTGTATTCAGTTCCATCTAAAGTTTGTGCAAACTAAGCGCATAGTAGCCAGAAACCGACTAAGTTATACTTTTCCGGGTAAACATTCAATACAGTGCTATCATTACAAGCCCTTGACCTGGAATTAATCAGTATTTAGAAAAATCCAACATTGAGAAAACCAAACGCATAGTGTGAGTCCAACATGATATAGTCTCGCAATCGAAATACAATTTTGGAACCTATAATTAAGCTCAAAACGTTTTTTTTTTAAGAACATTTCTTCATCATTAACTATTTTCCTGTTCTTTTCATTATTGAATCACACCTAACTAGGATTGGGTTCAGACTCATTTCCAGTCTTCAATAAGTTAAGCTACCGTGTCTTTTAAATTGAGGAGAGTTGAGGAGAGGAAAGCATATTCTCTCCTGATGGTCCTTCGTAAGAGATGTCGCAGTATTTTTACGCCTAGATATACCAGGAAGTTGACCTTCTGGGAGCTCCTTCCTTGACTGCCAGTTCAACTGGAAAACTATATCTTCGTCAAGCTTAACACACTGCGTGAAGTCCTCAACTCAGGGGTTTGCCTGCCTGGACTTCCACCGCCATTGTTGGAGCTTACTGTCGGGCCTCGGAGTCTGCCCGAGAGCGAACTTGTCAACGACGTGCTACGGCCTTTACGAAGACATATATAATCTATTTTAATCTTGATGGCCTTTCTGAATTTTTCTGCTCTGAAGGCGTAAAGAAGGGGATTAATAAGTGAATTAAAGCTGAAAAGGATGGTTGGTAGAACGCCCGTGAGAATTTCTCTACTTTGCGGGGACATCACCTCTTGAATGTTCGTCGTAAGCCACAGAAACGCGATGACGATAGGCACCAAGAAAAAGATCATGTTGCTAAGGACTAAAGCTCCGATTCTCCTTGCTAGGGTTCCGTCTCTTTTGATTCCAGCCTTTTTTTCCGTTTTCTTCACAGTTTTAAAAACTTTAATGTAGAAGGGTATGGTGATGAAATACAGGACTATTCCCCACAAGGAAAGTCCAATACTCAGCTCATACGAATGGGGAATGTCTTTGATCGGGCGAATAGGAATACAGAATGTATTGCCGTCATAGACAGAAATATTGACCAACGGCAAAACAGCGATGCTCACGCCCAAACACCATGTGATTAACACAAGGATGAACGCTATCTTCCGAGTGATTCGTAATGAGGGTTGCATACAGTACACAACTGCCAAATACCGCTCCACGGTGAGAATGAGCGACGTCTTGATGCTAACAATTGCGCTGGAGAGCCAAATAAACCCAAGGGCATTACAGAGATTCTTCATGAATAACATAAACTCTGTGTAGGGCTTCAGTCTTGTGCAGACCAAGATAAGTGTGTAGAGACTGACAAGGAAGTCGCTAAGAGCCATATTGCTCGTTAGACACATAGTCACATTCCTTCGTAATACTCTTGTTGTTAATGTCACTACGATCACTGTAAGATTCAGGATCATGGCAATTGGTGCGATTAGGAACTCGATACTTAAGATTTTGTTATCGATGTCCCAGCAACGGTGTAAAGGGGTGACGCGAATTTCATTGTCAAAACAAGCTTTTATCTCGAGGCATCGTGGAAAGAATCCATGATTTGCATACCCCACAACCTCTTGGCTCGCCTCGAGTCTGTTTACGCGACAATGTCCCATGTTCCCAACCAGGTAATCTCCTTTTCGAAGTTCGGAAGTCTCTATATTAACCCCATTGTTTTTAAACTCGCCTTCCTTCAGAGTGTGGTTCTTCACCAAAGAGCAATTAGCACATGGGTCGTTCCAGGTCACTCCCTTAATTTCCTTGAGCATGCGCAATTTGAGCAGAAAGGTCGGAAGAACGAACTTGGAATTCCCAGATAAATCCAAGAGAATCAAAGACGGAAGACTGTTTGTGAAATTTCCCTCCCATTCTATCAGCTGGTTCCCAGAGAGTTCTCTGTTATCAAGAGAGATTGAACGTAAAAAAAAAATCACTGAAATTGTTCACCACTCTTGTTTGGGAAAAACAAAATATTGTCTTCGAATATTCAAACAAAAAATATATTTCCCACCACACACACACACACAACACGAATACCTGGTGTGACAGATCTCTGCAAGATACTGTCGCGAGATTACTCTAAAATGGCATTCTTTGATCAGCCTCACAAGTTGAACCAGTTAGATTTTAAGCGACTTCTTTCGGTAACAAAATTCTGTGACAGTGACGAAATTTTGATTTTCACTGAAAAATGACCATATCGCCCAATGATAACTTTGGTTGCGACCTATCCCTGAGTCGTAAGACCGAGTTATCGCGTGTTTTCCGTGACGTATTTTTTGCTGCTTTTGCCATAGTTTAATTTTTTACTAACTGCTAAACAGACAACAAAGAAATTTTACTTACAGACGCTGCAGATGATTGAGACCGGAGAATGCGCCACCTTTTATGGTGCGGATGCTGTTATTGGGTAAACTCCTGGAAATTTAATACAAAGTGACAGTAAAATCAGTTGGACCAAGTAATAACCTGATTGCAGTCAAACTCATGATCTAATTGTTGAACACGCAGAAGCTACACGAATATCAGCAAGGTCTATCTAAAATTTCTTATCGCAAATAAGTTCAATGGATTTACAACGTGCAGGTGATCAGTGCGTGCACGTGATCGTGACTATGTGGATTTGGCGAGCGTGAGTATGATCGTGATTACATGCGTTATCGCGATTGCGTGCGTGACTGCGCACTTGATCGTGATCGCATACGAGAACGTGCATGTGCCTTTCAAGAATGGTTTTTAGTCACGAGGACGCGCACGTGATGTGTTTTAGGGCATTATCATGGTCGCGTGCACGACTGCGTGATCGTGAAATATAGAAGATAAACCTAAAAGAGTAGTTTTTTCAGCAACGACAAATGTCAAATAAAAAAAATGCACTTACAAATTGACAAGACTTGTGAAATTCCTGAAGGCTCCTTCAGGAATTGTTTCCAGATCACTGGAGACGATACTCCTGCAAAAATGCAAGCAGCAAAGTCATTAATTGGTGAATTAAGTGAAAGAAGTTTGTCGCTTTCGCCTCAAAAGAAAAGATGCTTTCATTTGTGATGCGGACGGCGGCTCAAAGTTGAGGATTCTTTTACCTAACGCTTGCTACAGATCTTTCTTCGCTTAGCGTAAGATGCCAAAAAAAGATAGCTTTCCAATTCACTGGTTGATGTCAAAGTCCACCAGAAGCAGTTGCACTCTTACTTTGGCCGCCGTGCGCGTCTCAAAATCGACTGTGCCGAGGTTCCATTATTAAAATGGCACGAAAAAAGCTAAACAACTTAAAATCAGGTTTCTAAGGTCACAGACAAAACGTTTGGTCTCAAAATGACAGGTGTTCAGATTCATATCCAATTAAGGAAAGAGTTTAATAAGGGCAATGTTTGGGTCTGTCCACGCATCTTATGTCAGAGCTGAAGGCGTATTTCTACCAAGCGAGCGCTTAATATTTTCTCGTGTAAAGCTTCCCACCATTTTGATTT